TGATTTTTTGGAGACTATTTGAGGTGGGGCCTCACTGTCTAATCCAGGTTGACACACAACTCACCATGCAGTTTAGATGATCTCAAGTTCAAAATCCTCCTGTTTCCATTTCCATGTAATTTTTCAAACAGGATCTTCACCTGTAATTCTTGTTTTTCCATGTCTTTACTTGCCTCTTCCATAACATTTTGTTCTAGATACTTCTTTGAAACAGGGCATAGTGTAGCCCAGGCTGCCCTCAAACTCAATACACAGCCAAGGATAACCTTATACTTCCAATCCTCCTGCCTTTACCTCCTGGATACCGGGTCTGCAGGCCTGAACCACCACGCCCAGTTTATGCCATGCAGGAAATCAAACCCAGTACTTCAATCACTCTAGGAATGCACTCTACCAACTGAGCTATATCTGGATAATTCTTCTATACACAGTGTAGTTTGCTTGAATTTTATCAAATGATCACAAACAAGTTTTATTAATGCAATTTATTTATACCCATTGATGTGACCAATATGTTTGATCACAACTCTATTAATACATTTACCATATGTCCTTAATCAGTTCTTATAGTTGTGGCATCAGGGTCTACTCTAAAGATCCCCCTTTAATTCAATTACCTATTTAACCCTTTCCTCTAAAATTATTACATTCTGAGGTACCGGGAGTTATGATTTAAACAAAGCATTTCAGAGTAACATAATCCATAGCATATAAAGACTTCTAACATGTGTGTGTCATTTTGTAATATAGATGTACTATGTCACAATCAAGTTGGGAAATGCCTTTGAAGACTGAATAATTTAAAAATACTGTAACTTTTCTTGAAGGAGTCTATTCTTAACACTGCACTCAAGTATTAGGACCCCTTCAACCTTCAGGTTCCTGGGGATACTCATGATGGAATCAAGAACATGAACACACAAGCATTCCTGCTGGTGTTCTTAACTACAAAAAAAAAAAAGTCAGTGACCTTTTTATATAAACCTCTAAAACTTCTAGTCCCATGTTTTGTTTTTTTAATATTTTTATTGTTATACTGCAGGTACTAGCTTAGACTAGTAAGGACTAATGATAAACTGTCTTCTGCCTTGAAATTCAGAGGCTCCAGGCGTAAGGAAACAGGAGAGCTGCTGGTGACTTAGATATTACAAGTCCACCTCTGCAGCCTCAGGAAAAACAGTGATTTTCTTATATTCTCCCTATTATTCAAAACAAGTATCATTTGTCTTAAACTACGGGGCTTTCTTTCTGCTCCTAATCATAAGATTCTGTTCTTCCTCTTTTCCTCCTAACGCACCAAAGTAGGCCTTGATAAGCTGGGAAGCAAGCAGCTCTGTTGTACTTCTCAGAAATTTACCTTTTAGATTTCAAAGTGAATAATGCAGAACGAATTATGTTTTTATAAGAAACTGTCACTAGCTACAACTGGATCAAAATGCCTGAGGGTTAGTTAGCATTTGGAGACTCTTAGGAACAATTGCAAATGAAAAAGGTATTAAACTGGGCATCAGGGGAGCAAGCCTTTAATCCCAACACTGGGGAGGTAGAGGCAGATGGCTCTCTGTGAGTCTGAAGCCAGCCTAATGGTCTACAGAACTAGTTCCAGGACAGAGGAAACCCTGTTTTGAAAAAAAAAAAGTTATCAATTAGTATTTTCTCACCACTGAATAAAGAAAGTGAGTAATAATAATTAATATTTTAATTATTCATACAATTTTAATTTTTTATATAGCAGTTTATAAAACATGATTATTGGCCACATAAAATTTCTGAAAACATAGAAACACAAGTCATCCAAATCAGACGCTATCCTGAAAACAGTAAGTTTGTGTTTGAGTGTGTATATATGTATATATATGTATACATATACATATGGTAAGCTCAGATAAACATCTTAAAATAGTTCAGTATGGGGTTTCACACCTGCAACTGCAGCACTCTAGAGGCTGAGGCAGGAGGATTGCTTTGAGTTCAAGGCTAGCCTGGGATACACCAAGTGAGATTATGTCTCAAAAAAAAAAAATTGTGTGTGTGTGTGAGATGTTCACAAAGATATTAAATTCCCTACATATGAGGCAGATGTACTTCCCACACAGCTATGTTGGAATCAGTCTAATGTGATACATATCTGATTACTGGCAAGTAATAAGGCTTAGAATCTGGAATCTGAGAATCCTATGTCTCTTGTTTTTTTCACTTCATGTCTACACTTTGATTTTTGCCTATTTTTACCTCTTTAAGATTATCCACAAAGTGGTTAAAAATCTCACAGATTGTAAAGTTTAAGCCAAATTCTAACATTTCTGACTATTTTCCATTATACAATAACAGATTCAAATGAACTTAAGACTTTAGTGTAACTGTGCATTAATTAGATATTAATGAATTAGTATGATGGTTACCTTTGCGAGTATATTGTCTTAGGGTAATGCCAGAACTAACACTTTGGAAGCTGCCTACAGTTGTCGAGGTGGTGGCACATACCTTTAATTTGAGCATTGGGAGGCAAAGGAAGGCAGATCTCTATGAGTTCAAGGCCAACTTGGTCTACACAGTGAATTCCATCCAGGCCAGCCAAAGCTACACAATCAGACCTTAGCTAAATAAATAAATAAAAACTGACAAAGTAATAAATACTATGGGCCAAAATAATATGATTGCATAAGTGTAAGTATTAAATAATGACAGTGGGGATAAGATAATTAGGGAAAGCTTTCCTAGGGAAATGATTACTGAATAAATCAATATCGTTTTAATTCTAGGAATTACACAACATAAACGGAAAGAAGAAAATCATCAAATTTATTTCAAGCTGAAGGCTAAGTTTAGGAGTTGGCCTACATGGTAAAATAGTAATTTTACTTCAATGTAACAGGAAATAACACTATAAATACCTAAACAACAGAAGGAGAAAGTGAATAAAATGTGAACTGGTGGAGAATGTTTTACACACACACACACACACACACACACACACACACACACACACACACACGGCTCTAATTGTGAGCCACCTGATACGGGTTCTGGGAGCTGAACTCAGGTCCTCTGCAAGAGCAGTAAGCACTCTTAACCACTGACCCATTTCCCCAGTCCCAAGAGAGGGTTTCATCCACACCTATACGTAAGGAAATAGTACCAAGGAAGTGTGTCTTAGTCACCCAAATGTAGAGTCATAAACTTCTTCTTTAGCGTGGTTAAACCACTCTTTCTACAACCAGGTGTCAGGCTAGGCTAGGCTATCAGTAGACATTTAGAGAGTTAAGATTAGCATCCCTTTGGTTTCAGGTCATCTCAAGATAAAAAGCTGATTAAATTAAAAGCCCTGTCCTACTAATGAAGACAGAGGAGTCTTGAGTGCATGGCAGATGAAGAAACTGCCAGTTATTTGCTTTCAGTAGTGAGAGTTTCCACGAGGCACCACACTGATCCTGAGGCTGAATGAGTTCATTTTACTGATTGCCCCAGGGTGACCCAGATTTTAATCCAATATTTTCTCTGCATTGGATATAATACAGAGAAAACGTGCAAACACATTAATGCTACGCTTTTCTACCTTCAGTGCAAGATCTTTGTGACAGTTATCTTAAAAGTTGGTATCAGCTGTTTGGGACAAGAGATTTGAAACACCTGTTCGAAGGGATGGTCTGGCCTGTCGACCCACTCTTAGCAAACATTTCAACCCTGACTGAAGAAAATCAAACAGGTTATACTACTCATGTGATCTTGTCAAGGCAACCCATAATTTCATCATAAATTAGGCAGGCAGGTAACACGTGAAAGGCTCAAATGGTTTAGTCATGCCAAAGTTTACCTTTGTTCTAGTGAAAACAGACCTCGATCTACAGAGTAATAAAGGAAGAAAACTAGTCAAACTGGCAACTAAAATTAATTTTGAGGGAAAAATAAATAGGAAAACTTCAATTTATACTACATAACTATAAACAGTAAATAATCAAAGATTTGTAAGTCTGTACAGAAAAATTGGAAACTCTAGCTATAATGTATGAAATAATCACACCCGTTTAGGTCAATGAGGAGAATGATGAAATCCACTTAATGAAAAAGGGGGTTCGCTAAAGTGATAACTCAAATGACAAAATAGTCCTCCAATGCTGACACTTCTGTTCCTTGTACTGAATAAATGGGAAATGTCAGAAACACACACACACACACACCAATTTAAAGACAAACCACGCTGTAAAATAAGACCTAGTTATTTACAAAAAAAAAAAAAAAAAAAAAGGCAACATGATTGTTTTTAAAGGTGTTTTCATTTAGGAGAAATCTTGGGGATGGGGTGGGAGAAGCTTGTGAAAAAAAGAATTCTGATTACGGCATACATTGAATTTCTTTTCCAAAAAAAGAAAAAGAGGACAGGTTAAAGAAAAAAAATAAATAAATAACTTCCCAAAAGCTAGAATTTAGAAAGAAAAACAAATAAATGGCTTTACCACAATCTCATGTAAGTTTCCCTAACAAGGCATGTATGCAGGGTTCAAGAGAACCCACCCACCATGCACCCTGAGCCTCTTAACCATATCACCCCAGGAACCAAGAGGTCCTGGATCCCCACATGGTCGATGGGACCCCAGGCACTCAGAACCCATCTCTGTTCAGGCAGACCCAGCAGGGTCACTTGTCTCCACAGCAGCCTCCAGTCACTGCCAGCCCAGTCACCTGTGCGGGGATGGCACTTCGAGGCTGACCTGGCCGCCCGCCTGCCACCCTCACAGAAGGAAACCGCTCAGTTCCCACACTGGTCCACACTTCCCTCCCCGGCTGGGCTCCTGGCTGTCGGCAGAAGGGCAGACAAAGAAGTCCCGGGCACAAGTTACATCTCTGCCCGGTCCCCGGTGGATGCTGCGGGGCGCGGACGCCGGCTCGCCGTGGCCTCCCGGGACGTGCCCTCGGTGGGACGCGGGTCCCCGGGGCCCAGGGGCGGGCGGCGGGGTCCAGGGCGGCCCTCGGGGCGCGGGGCTGCGGGGGCGCGGGCTCACCTTGTTGAGATGCGGGTCCCGCGTCAGCAGGTAGCCGCGCTGGTGGGTGTGGCGGCGGCGGGGGGCTCGGGGCTCCATGGCCGGCACGGTGGCGGAGCGGGCGCGGAGTGCGGCGGGCGGCGGCCGCGCGAGGGAAGGCCCCGCGGCCGGGGGCGGGCGTGGGTGGCGAGAGGGGGTGGCGAGGCGGGAGGAGCCCGCGCCTAGCCGCCGCCGCGGCCGGGCGGCCCGCGAGAAGCGCTGAGTCACGGCGGCATCGGCTGAGCCGCCGTGCGAGCAGGCGGGGGCGGGGCGCCGGGCGAGCGGGCCAGCTGGGCCCCGACGGGTGAGGGGCGGGCCGGGCCGCCTGACCTCCTCCGCGTTCTCCACCCTGGTCCCCTAACCCCACCGTCCTGGATGCCAGCCATACCCTGGGGCCTGATGCAGGAGGGGGATGAGCTTTGACCCAGAAAGCCCAGGCCTCGATGGCACTGGGCGAGAGAGCGACTCCACGCCTGTTTCTGAGTAGTGTGTAATGGGAATTTTATCAGAATGTAATAAGAGGAAAGGTGTTAAGAGTGCACGGGTCCAGTGGACACTCCTAATGAGTTTAAGGACAATTTTCCTTAGTGTTCTGGAAACCAAGATGTTAATTTTGCAAGACTATGGTTTCTTCTTTGATGAAAGAGGGTCAGAATAAAAAGTTTGCCAGTATTTAAATCCTATGTTGTATTATAGATGTTTATACTTGAAGATTCAAGGACCGGAGAAGTAGTCCGATCCCACTCTTGCCAAGAGGAATGTCTGAAAAAAAAAAAAAAAAAAAAAAAAAAAAAAGGCAGTCTTCAGACACCAAAACCTTGCATGCCCCCCCCTTTTCAGTTAAGATGGCCAGATTGTATGGTCTTCACCTAGACACCGCAGAACAGTGTGTGGGGCTATATATTGTCTTTATATCAATAAAATGGACTTTTTCTTCATTTCTAATCCCTTTGCTTGACCTGTCAATAGGTTTTGGGCTCTGCTTTAATACAGAAGTTTCTTTGGTCTAGTTTTTAAATTGAATAGAATCAGCTATTTTATAGAGAACATTATATTAGCATCGCAGAGTTCTTCAAAAGCATTTCTTGCATTTAAGTACATCTTTCATTGTGAATTTTATAATCCATAAATAATTAACCCCACAACATCTGAGAAGAAGGTGTACTTTACAAAACTCACTCACCTAAATTAGAGGAGGTACTTTACAATTAGAGCTCATTGTGTGATCCAAAAAAAAAAAAAAAAAAAAAAAAAAAACAGTTTAGCAGCGGCAGATCTGGAAGATGCTTAAGGGGCACAAAATAAAAGGCAGTATAATGAAGCTGTTATGATATACATTTAGAGATGTTACTTGTCCATTCCTGTTTCTGGGGCTTAAGATCTGTAGCCAGGAACAATAATATAGAATGACCCACTGACCCACAGAGAGCATTTGGCCTCTTCCTCCAAGCCAACATTACAGAGGGGGGGGGAACCCTCTAGGATAGGTAAATTACACATCTTCTACTTGTATGTTTGCTTTTCCCATGACAGTTCCAGTCATCTTGAATGGTTAGCAGACCAAGGAGCTATCTTGTACATCCACACACACTTCCAAAACAGACTCAAAAGAACCTATTTCCCACATGTTGACAAGACATTTTTCACTCTTTTTAATCATTTGTAAAATTAGATTTTTATTGCCAAAAATGCAGACAAACAAGTACATAGATTTAAAACAACAACAACAATAAATAAACTCCTTTGCGTTCAGTAACCTTGTAAGAAACTGAGGTTCGAAATGTCACTCTGTACATAATTGATAATGTTAAGTATGTTAAAAATAGGCACTGAAGAGATAGCTCAGCAGTTAAAAGCACTTGATGCTCTTAGAGAGAACCCAGGTTCAGTTCTCAAGGCCTAACTGGTATGGCTTACAACTCCAGATCCTCAGACATTGCTTGCATGCAGTACCCATACAAACATGCAGGCAAACACTTTATGCATAAAATAGATCATAAAAGAATTTAAGGTAGAGGCTGGAGATGGAGCTCCTCAGTGAAGCATGACTGAGATTTTTAGTCTGACCTCCAGTACATTCATTTATCCCTTAATGTATTCAAAATGTTTGCTGAATACTTACCACATGCTAAACTTCAGGCTAGGTTACAGTACACAGACATACACTTGAGGGGCAGTCAATTTATAAGAAAAAAAAAACGTAGAAAATCACAACATTTAAACTATGAAAATAGAGTGTATTTCAACAGCAACCTGAAGTCTCATGTTAAAATATGCTTTTAATTCTTTTTTCAACACAGGATGTTTTCTGTTTAAGTACTTGAAACTATCTCTGAATGGTGGAAGCATTTTCTCAGGGGTAACTTCAAGAGAACACCCATATACCCATAATGCCTCACTTTACATGTATATAGCAAGCATGTCCCCCAATTTGGAATGGGAAACTACTCATTTAAACATGTAGTGGCTGACATGCCTGTCCAAAATGCATTAAAACAGCTACTTCAGAACCTGGACTCTTTGTCAGATTTCCTTCTTCTAGTTTATTTGTCTCAACCTTGTGTGCCCTTGACAACTTAGTAACCTGCCTGCTGTCACCCTTCAGATGGTTTCTCTTCTTCAATAACCAGAACCATGTATTTGTCAACTGAAAAGAAATCAGATAGATTGTTCTAGTTGCCTAATTTTACCTTTGATTGATTGATTGATTGATTGATTGATTGGGGAAACAGTTCCCTCATTGCCACAAATATGCCATTGAGGTTCCCACATTTGGGAAAACCTCAGGGGTTGGCAAAACTGGAGTGGAATGATAAGCCTGACTCTGGGAAAACTGCTTACATGATCATGGTGTTTCCCCTGCCAAGTAAGTCTGTAATTTACCTTTCAAAATGAAAATTTTGTCAATTAATTTGGATATTATGTATTTTTTTGAGACAGTCTCCCCAAATAGCCAAGTTGGCCTGGAACCTGTGATTGTTTTGTCAGAGCCTCTCAAGTATTGGGGTTACAGGTGAATCAGGTGTGCCTGGCTTCCAAATTCATTTAGGAAGAGTTAGAGGCCTCCGTGTGACAAAGCAGGGTTAACTGACTTTATAAGCTTAAGTATTGACCTTGTGGGATTGATAGTATTGTGCTCAGTTCTTCTGTTTGTATTAAGTTCTCTTTTATAATAAACTAAATGGTTTTTAAAATTGTTTTTGTTTGCATCCTATTTTGTTTTAACTGGGAGTAAAAATGTTTGAAGACAGAGTCATGGAAGAACTTTTGTTTCACTTTGGATTTTTTTCCCCAGACATCACATAGCTTCCCTGATATGTAATTTATCTATGTGGGTTAAAGGTCAGCTATGAAGTGTATGCTGAAGTTTGCCTTTCTCATTGCCTTCCCTGGGTTGAAGAGCAGGAGAGCTGCTCAGTCTCCAGGACGGAGACAGTGTGTTCCTCTCCAGTGAGAAGTGGAAAAGCACACAGAGTATCCCAGTCGTGTACAGGACACACTTCATTGCTCTGTAACATACTGCCTTAAGAGATTGACAACAGCAATCACTACATGCTCTCCTGTGTTTTCTGTGCATGCATATTGGGAGAATGGTCTGGTTTCTCAGTTCTGGCCCACGGTTTCTCACATGGCCACAGTGAGAGCAGTCAACAGGCCTGTAGAGTCCCAGCTACTCAGAAGGCAGTATTACTTAAAGCAGGAATTCATCAAGCCAGCCTAGGGAACACAGTGAGTGAGAACTTCTCTGAAGAAAGAGGAAAAAAAGAGAAGAGAGGGAAAGTAGGCTTGGAATAAAGTGTATCTGCCTGGCAGTTGGGGCCTGTCTGGTTACACACACACACACACACACACACACACACACACACACACACACACACACACACACACACCCTGTTATCTCTGTATCATCTTTAATCTTCAGTCTTTTCATATGTGGATCCTCACTATAGGCTGATTGGAGGTTCTCGAGCACTAACAAACAATGGTCTGTATTTGTGCAGAGCAAGTTTCTAGAGTACAGGCTAGACCGTGATTTTCCTCCAGACGACCTAGCCTTGGAAGTCACATATTGTCAGTTCTCTCTTCCTCCAAACTGTCACATAAAGCTGCACAAAGTATACACAATGTATATCACAATTCAGTTCAGGTTCAGACATAAGCCCTCAGGGATACCTTCGGTATATCTGTTGCCATAGTTACTGCTGATAACTGTGTCTAGGAAGAGGTTTCAAAATGCTTTCATTGTGGATTAGTAAGATGTATTTAAATTTTTTCAAAAATACAAATCCCTTAAAAATGTATTAAGACTCAGCCAAAGTGTTAAATTACCCACAATACACCATTCTGTAATGTACCTTAATGTAAATATGATAATTTAAAATGTATCATAGTTATTTTACTAAATTATACTAGTTTCATAGGTTAACAGGGAGCCATGAAAGAATTACATACTTGAAACAGGCCATCCTGTTCTCCAGAGAGAGTTCCAAGACAGCCAAAGCTACACAGAGAAACCCTGTCTCTAAAAATGAAACAAAAAATTACATATTTGAAATATGTGTGACCTGTTGGAATCATGCATTACTTAGCTGTAACAACAGTACAATAATTTAATGTTACAAATAATGCCAGAAACTGAATAATAATGATAGAAAACTTTTAATTTACAAAATTATGCTCTAAGATTACCAACTGTATATTTCATTTTATGTCTGATGCTTACATAAAGGACATATATTATTTTATATGCAGGAAAAGCATTTTAAAATGTTTGTGGCAAACTTGGAGGTGGGAGTGTGATCCATGCCTTGTTCCGTAAGGTTTCGGGGACCCCAGCCTTCTTTTCCTAGTTCCTGAGATGGCTGAGGTTATGGGTCGGCGGAATATTTAATCAGCATCATGAATAGTGAAAACACCTGACAGCTTGCCATCAGGCACTAAACCCAACCACAAAATGCCAGTGTAAGACCGGCCAGATACATTTCATAATATCTTACCATGCCAAACACCTGTGCAGATCCACCCAGACTTGCTTACTCTGAAGTAACTAGATTAAAAACAAACACAAGTGATCTAAAGATAAAAAGTTAAAGTTAAAGAACTTTGCGGAAGTGTCAAACTTCTTCTAAAAATAGACAATATAGATCAAATTTA